AATAATCCCATTTCGAATATTGTCACTTAAATTGGAAAAACTCCCTCGCGCATCTTAACCCTTTGGGGCGGGCGCGCAAAAAGGAGGTGTGACAATCAGTAGATAAAGTTTACATAGTCCAACACTACTACTACTCGAGTAGCCTGTTTGGCCAAGTTTTCCAATTCTAGAAGCATTTTTTTTAAAATACTTTTTTTTTTCATTTCAAAATTGAAGCGTTTGGCCAAGCTTTTGGAAGAAAAAAAAAGTGTTTTTCAGGAGAAGCAGAAGCAGTTTTGGAGAAGTAGGAAAGGGTAACTTCTCTCCAAAAGCACTTTTGAGAAAAATACACTTAGAATCACTTTTTAAAAGTTTTGCTAAACATTAATTGTTGTTCAGAAGTGCTTTTCAAATTAATTAGCCAAACACAAATTGCTTCTTACCAAAAGTACTTTTGAGAAAAACACTTCTAAGAACCCTTTGCAATAGCACTTCCGAATATAAAACTAAACTTCGGCAACGGGCATAACTAAAGTTTAGTAAAACTAATTTTGCTGGGTTGCCTTCTTGCTAGCTCTAAGAGGAGGGAAATTTTCTTTTTTTCACAACCCTTTGCAACGGGCAAAGGATTCATATGTAATATATATACTATTTTGCCGACTACTAATATACTAGAGAACGCAACTTTCCATCAGTTGGTGATGAATAAATATTGCAGATTCATTTTTTAATTCATAACAAAAACAAAAAAGGAAGGAAGAAAGAAAGCGATTAATAGCAATATCTAAAGTTTGGGTGGAAAAAAATTGCTGCTCCCTCTATCCATCGTATATGACACTTTGACACCTATGACAAGGCAAACAATTTTTTTTTTTTTTAAACAAACATTGTGATCACGTTTCGGGTTTAACTTTTCGTTTTTGAAACCCAAGTGAAAACTGTATGAGGCTTTTATCAGGGTTTAAGGTTGTTGTCCTGTAATAGTACTTCTCTTCGAGTAATTACTAGTATGAGCTTTCTGACAATCTCGAGCAGCTCCTCAATTCTTCAATCTTTTCCACCCAAATTCTGCATCTCCAAATGGAGAAAGAGGACCCCTTCAGCATTCACAGCACGCAATTCCAAGATTTACAGTCCCTTCTCCATCCCATCAAGATTCCAAATTTCAGCTCATTTCGGCCGACGTACCAAACGTCAAAACTATTTGAGGAAAAAGCTCACTCAACACCACCAACAACAACAGGTAATTGAAACCCCCATTATTCACATCCCAAATTCTGAAAATAATGATGAAAACAGCATGTCTAACTCCATTTTTCAAAATCCAAGTAGTGAAAGTTTTCAATTTGGCTCTGAAAGCGGTGATGAAAAAAGCAAGAATCTTGTTTCTGATAGTGGGGTGGAGTTAAAAACAAAGGCTTTAGGGGAGTCTGTTTTATGGAATAAATTGGAGAGCTGGGTTGAGCAGTATAAGAAGGATACAGAGTATTGGGGTATTGGTACTGGTCCTATTTTCACTGTTTTTCAAGATTCTGAGGGTAAGGTCAAAAGGGTGGTTGTAAATGAGGATGAAATTTTGAAAAGAAGCAGAATTGATCCAACATTGTATCGGAACGCTAAGATTGAGGAGCATGAGGATGTTAAAGCAAAAATTTCATTCGCCGAGGTCTTAGCTAGGGAAATGGAAACTGGTAAAAGTTTGCTTCCTAAGAATAGTTCAGTCGCTAAATTTGTCGTTTCAGGAGAAGAGAAGTCCAACGCTGTGAGTGGACTCAGCACTTTTACTCTTAATCCTGGTCTATCTAAAAAGTTGCCTAGAGTTGGATTCGTGGTATTTTGTGGTTTCATTTTGATTTGGGCGGTAAAGAAAATGTTTATTACTGGTAATAGTGGAGAAGAAGAGTACTCAAGGTTGGAGAAGGAAATGCTGAGGAGGAAGATGATAGCAAGAAAGGAGAGGGAGAAAACTGTGAAAGGTGAGGTGGAAGTTATCCAAGAGCCAGATAACATGTCTCTGGAAAAACCTCGGCTTGATAAGCTACAACTTAGGAGCAGCATAGAGAAAGCAATGGGATTCGACGCTAGTTTAGCATTGCCAGAGCAGTTTCAGAATGAGCAGTTTGAGGATGCCGAATTCTCTGATAAGATTCAAGAAATCAGAAAGATGGCGAGGCATGCACGAGAACAGGAAAAAGGAAATTCTCTTCAAGCTGACAATGGAGGAGATTATCCAGCCTCAATCGAACACTCTAATGAAAAGGAAGTTGTTGAACCGAAATTGTTTGAGGATATTAATGGAGTCCTTACCGGTTCATCTTCACTGTTTAGTCATGAAGTGCAGACCTCTAGCAGAAATTTAGAACCTCCAGATGATATAAAAAGCTCTATGGAAAATGTACATCAGTCAAAACATGATGTAAGCTCAACTGATGGAACTGAAAAATCTGTTATAATGTCTGGCCAATCAAGCAAGCCTAGTGAAATTTCTGTGGCATCAAAATCAAAAATCATTCTGTCAGTTAAGGAAGCTAGGGAGTACCTCTCGAAACTGAAAGCGAAACAAGAAAGTATTGCTGAAAGTGATCCAGAGGGTGAGAAGGTATTAATACCACTAATAGAAAAGGAGAGTATTGGTGATGTGAACCAGCTGTCTGCTAATGCAGGAAAAGAATTTGACCCATTGCCTTTATGGGGAATATCTGATTTTTCTTCTGAAGATTCTAGTTTCAAACGAAAAGATTTTCTTCCAACCAGCAATGGTGCTGTATCTGTACAGAACAAAGAGAAAAGTTATCCAAGTCAAAGTTCTTATGATGATGAGAACAACAGATATGAAGAGCTTAAACCACTTGATTTCCCATCACCTGAACAAGAAGGAACAGTTGGTGATGTGAGCTCACAACCGACTGATGAGATCAAAATCTTTCCATCCAATGACATTCCTGAACTTGTTGATAAAGTAGTAGTACATACTGAATTACCTGAAACTCAGTCTGCTCAAGACGGTAATGGCAGAACTGCAGAACTGGAATTATCACCAAATAATGGAAGCTGGTTGGAAAAGAATTTCCATGAATTTGAACCGGTCATTAAGAAAATTCAGACGGGGTTCAGGGATAATTACCTGGTGGCAAAGGAGAAATCGGATGAGGAGCCGAATCTAAAACCTCAGATGTTTCATCTTGAGAGTAATGAGAATGTCAGCGAGCTCGAGTGGATGAAAGATGAGAGACTTAAAGAAATTGTTTTTAAAGTTAGAGAAAATGAGCTTGCTGGTAGAGATCCATTTTCTCAAATGGATGATGAAGATAAACTTGTCTTTTTCAGTGGCCTTGAGAAGAAAGTTGATCAAGAGAATAAACAACTAATGGATTTGCACAAGTGGCTCCACTCAAACATTGAAAACCTTGATTATGGAGCAGGTATTAAATTTTTCTTAAATGTTTAGAGATAGTTACTCCCTCGCGGAAATAGGATAAATAAATGCTAAAGTCATTATACCTGGTAACATTTTGAAAGATACAGTTCAATAATTAAGGTTTATTGTTCATCATATTTGTCCCTTTTCTTATTTTTGAGCCGCCTTCAGGCACAAAATTCTGATTTCTTTAGGATTCATTTTGTTTTCCTTCTTGTTTTAGGGTGTTGGGGTTGAATGGATGGTAGAGAAAAAACCTAAGTTTCTCAGACTCTTCACTTTCGATGCCGCACCTGTGTCGACACGACATGGGTGTGGGTGTGATTGAATCTGGTCAATTGATTTTGGGTGCTTTGACGAAAAATCGACGGAGAAATTCGGGACAGATACAATGGTTTCTGAAATCAAAACAAAAGCTAGAGTGAAATTGAAGAAAATAGATTATATTGTATATAGAAATTTCTATGTCAGTCCTTTTCCTTTTTTATCCTTCTCGGATTCTCCTTTTGATCAACATTCTCTCCTTCTCGGAATACCCTTTAAGTTTTCCACATAACTTCTCATAATTTAGACATATTTATAACTCTACTTTTAGATATTTGAGTTATTTTTAGCCGAATCACCGCACCCATATCCGTATCTAGGTTCGTGCCCTCGAATTTTAAAATTTAGATCATGAAGGATCCGACCCTAGATTCGCACCTGTATCGGAAATCGGCACCCGAGTCCGAGCAACTTAGGAAAAAACATAAAGTTTTTTTGCAATTCCAAGGTTATGCTAAGCAAGCTACTTTTTTAAAACCCTCTTTTGCTGTAGATGGCATCAGTTTGTACGACCAACCGGAGAAAGTTATACCTCGCTGGAAAGGTCCACCAATGGAAAGAAGTTCTGAGTTCCTAGAATACTTTGCAGAAGAGAGAAAGGTAGTTGCTGAAAGCATAAAAAACTCAAATCTCATAAAGAAAGAAAGACAAGACTTGCCTCAAGGATTGCAAGAATCCCCATCAAGCAATAAAATTGATTCGACTTCAGCACCCAGGACCATCATTGAAAGTAGTGATGGTTCCACCATAGCTGGCAAGAAATCCGGTAAAGAGTACTGGCAGCATACAAAGAAATGGTCCCAGGGGTTCTTGGAATCATACAATGCAGAGACCGACCCGGAAATTAAAGCTGTAATGAAGGATGTAGGGAAGGACTTGGACAGATGGATTACGGAAAGAGAAATAAAGGAAGCTGCCGATCTGATGGACAACTTACCTGAGAAGGGAAAGAAGCTTATCAAAGAGAAACTTGAGAGGGTCAAAAGAGAAATGGAACTGTTTGGACCCCAGGCAGTAGTGAGCAAATATCGTGAATATGCAGATGAAAAGGAAGAGGACTAGTATATTGGTAATTATTACATTTTTCATTTTGTAATTTTTCCAACTTAAAAAAGAATTTAATCAATTGAATTAAGAAGAGCATGGCCTCATACACGAGGCTTCTTCTCTGCCGGGCAGGGAGATCGCATGATTAAGGCGTGTATGACACTGTTACCTTTTACTGCAGACAGACTATTTCCTAGTTCCTTTATTAACAGTGACATTCGATGCAACCTAGAGGTTATTCGTCCACATCTTGTCCAAAGACATATATCGAGACACTTTCGGAGCTATTTGCTTGAAGGATTCTTTTAGTTTTCCAATGTTAAGGCCCTCTAGTCTTAATGTCTTATTATGTATTGTCCAGTTACATTGTGATTTCTCAAACAATATTTGTTTCTGTTTGTAGTGTATTGAATTATACACTGAGGAAGAAGGAGAGATGAATGTAGGATTCTATTCACTAGAGATGGCCGCTGATCTGGAATTGGATCCCAAGCAGTATCATGTAATTGCTTTTGAGGATGCTGGTGACTGTAAGAATCTTTGCTATATAATACAGGCTCATATGGAATTGCTTGGCAATGGAAATGCCTTTGTTGTTGCACGACCTCCTAAGGTAAATTTATTTGTTTGTAGTGTAACTACATTTCTTTGGTTAACTGGTCCTACGCCTTATTCTTTACATAATGACAGTGCTTTCAAATCTGAGATGGTTGATAACATCACTGGTGGAGAAATCCAATGCATTAGAGGAGTTTTTTTTTCCTTTTTTCTTGGGG